AGGGTAGAAATACATTTGGTCAATATTTGTAAGGTTATGGGTTGCCTGGTGTCTGGGCAGGTGGGATGGGCTCTTTGGATACCTTTGATGAGTAGGGAGGTCTGAGAATTGGCTATCTGGGGTGAGGGTGAACCATATAAGAGTTTGTGGAAAAATTGGATTCCACTTAGATAACCCTTAATGGAGCTGATTTGTAGGTTTTTTTGAACCAGGAATATGTTTTGCAGTTACAATGAATTGGTCGCAAGCCGAGATCCAAATCAGGCGTCTTAACAAAGGCATTAGGGTGGGTGAATGGGAACGGCCTTTATTGATGCAGTGCACAGTAGCCTCGTTGTCGCAGTGGATAATGATGCTGGTGGCGGACCACTCCTTACCCCACAGAAGGGCTGCGACGACTAAGGGATATAGCTCGAATAGAGCTGAGGATTTTAGCTGCTGTGGTAAGTCTAACAGCTGGGGGGGCCACATAGATGCAAACCAGCGGCCTTGGTAAAATCCTCCGTAACCGACGGAGGGGGCGGCTTGGTGTCCTGATGTGGCTGGCTACGGGGGGTGGTTCCAAGGCGAGGGCGTTCGGAGGGGTGGGTAGGGGCGTGGCGGAAGAAAGTGAGAAGGAAGAGCGAGCGAGGGGAAGTGGAAAGGTAGTCGCCGGAACCGCTTGTGGAGGCACGCTCACGCTTGGGGTAGTTCCGGGGATGGAAGAAAAAGGAAGAAGAAAAGAGAGGGGGAATGGCGGGCGTTGGGGCCTGCTCCATTAGCGGAGGCATGCTCGCGCTAGGGACAGTTCCGGGAGCGGAAGAAAAAGGAGGAAAAAGGAGAGGGGGAATGGCGGGTGTCGGGGCCTGCGCCATTAGCGGAGGCAGCCGCACGCTAGGGTTGGACAGTAGGGCTGCAGGCCATGGGTAGGGGAGGGGAGGGGGTTGGGAGTGGGGTAACGAAAGGGCTGAGGATGGGTCTGCGCCACTAGGGGTCTGTGAGGCGTGCTCACGGTAGCATCTGCTACGGGAGCTGGAGGCCACTGAACAGAAAAATGGTTATTAGTAGCATGAGGGAGCGGAAGAGATGTGGGCCTGTGTTACAAATGGAGGTAGCCTCACGTTTGCTTCAGCTGCTGTAGCTGTAGGCCATGGGAAGGGGGTGGGGTTGTGACATCCTGAAGAGCCTGTGTAGCCTGCACTGCTAGTGGAGGCAGCCTCACGCTAGCGTCTGCTACGGGAGCTGGGGGCTGCTGAAATGAAAAAAGGGGGTTAGAAGTAACAGGACGGAAATACTGAGATGTGAGGGCCTGTGTTGCAAGCGGAAGCAGCTTCACGCTTGCTTCGGCTGCTGTAGCTGTAGGCCGCGAGTAAGTGGAAGGGTTAGTGACATTTAGCGGGACAAGCGGAAATGCCTGGGTAGCCTGCGGTGTTGCCGACTTGGCAATTTGTTGCTAGATTTGGCAACATTAATATAAAATCTGTGTCCTGATGTTGCTGGCTACGGGGGGTGGTTCCAAGGTGAGAGTGTTCTGAGGGATGGGTAGGGGCATGGCGGAAGATAGCGAGAAGGAAGGACTTTTCCTCTTGTTTTGGCCTTCCATCCACGCTAAAACAAGGAGTCCAGGAAAACAGAGTTTAAAAACGCTTTCCAGAGCGGATAAATTGGAAAATGCTGTTTTCACGTTGCAGAAACGGAAGCTTTTGAAAACGATGAAGCATGTTTAGTCGTGTAACGCATTGTACCGATAGACATGTTTATACCATGTTTTTGCAGTTATGTGCTATTCACTTTCACACTGTTGCTAAAGATATTTACTTTGCACGCTCTTCATATTACGGTCCTAAAAAGATGACAGAAAATTTACTCACGATTGCTGTCCTGCGCCAAAACACGAGGGCAGTTGCGTTTTAGATCAATTCTGAGTGAGCGCGCCGTGGGCGCATCAGTGGATGGGGAAATATTTCCATAAAGGAATTGATCCTGTCAGAAGAACTGCGTGAAACTTATGTCTGTTCCGTCTGTATCATCTCGGTGATGTTTCATACATGCACAGTAAGGCTAATGTAACGCTTTCAGACATTTCAGTGTGGATGATAAACTTTGGGGGAAAAAAGGCTTTTTTATTTTTTTAATTGCTTTAAAAAAATGGCATCAACATCCGTTGATGTCATAACGTCGTTTAACAAACTTTAGCCACGAAAACCTGCTTTTAGCTACTTCACCTGAAATTTTATTAATTTGCAAAGCGGCCTGCGCCGCTAGCGGAGGCAGCCTCAAAGTCGTCTGCTACGCCGGCTGCGTACGGCGCTGCGGCTGGAAGAGCCGCGGTGAAAGGCTGAGCCGCAGCATTAATTATCTGCGCGTGCTCCTCCCGAAATTTGTTAATAAAACATCGCTTAAATGAAACATCTTTACAAAGTCTTTTGCATTGTTATTTCTGTGTTACAAACATTCAAATAATCATATAAGTACTGGAATAAAAGTTTATAGTTCGGATATAAACACTGCTGTCTACAGAAGCGATCGAAATAGAATAAATCACCTTTTTGAAAGTGACAATGCTTCAAATAAAGATTGTATCAATTACAAAGTAATGCCAGCAGGTGGAGACAAGTGACTTAACATGAGATTGGTTAAAAAAACGTTGATTCATTCAGGAATTAAACACGAGGCGAGCTCGGGGCTTTGCACGGTCTATTGGCTAGAGCGTGTGGCTGGTCGAGAAGAGCAGCGGCCGCGATGAAGCCTGGTGCTCGGTGGCCGTGTCTGGCGGGGAAGGAGTGATCGTGGGGCCGGCAAATTGCGGCGGATCTGAAAAAATCCCCAGTATAGGTCTCTTTGTTGGACGGGAAATTGGGTCTGTGATAAGATGGCAAAGGGAGCGAACCGAATACTGAAAGACTAGAGATAATGGAGGTAAGGCTGCTTTGATTATTTATAGAGGTTCTCTCTTGTGCTGATTGGATAGATGGTGTAATTATTGATGATGAACTGGCCGTGTTAATTATCTGCGCGTGCTCCTCCCGAAATTTGTTAATAAAACATCGCTTAAATGAAACATCTTTACAAAGTCTTTTGCATTGTTATTTCTGTGTTACAAACATTCAAATAATCATATAAGTACTGGAATAAAAGTTTATAGTTCGGATATAAACACTGCTGTCTACAGAAGCGATCGAAATAGAATAAATCACCTTTTTGAAAGTGACAATGCTTCAAATAAAGATTGTATCAATTACAAAGTAATGCCAGCAGGTGGAGACAAGTGACTTAACATGAGATTGGTTAAAAAAACGTTGATTCATTCAGGAATGAAACAAGTGAAGTCTTTATGAGCAAGTCATGAAGTTATGAGCTATGAATCAATTGTTTAACTTTGATCAATTTGTTGAATATTGTATTATATAAATAGACTGCAGCAATTTTTACTAGAAACTCTAGTAAATTACATGTTATTTTGTTTCGTTGTCTGTTTTTTTTTTCAGAATCATGGTGGGAAAATAGTGATATATTTTAAAATAAAATACTGATACAATACAGTTAATATAAATATGAAAAAGAATACTTCTTTCTAAAGAAATTTGTGAACTGTATTTGCTCAAGAATGTTTTTAGTTTTAGCATTTTGAGTTTGTTCAATACTCTGAGTATGAATGCAATAGCATCAGTATAACAAAACAAACTTGTTATCCAATTTTTTGTTCCAGATTTTTACTCTTAATATATATATATATATATATATACACACACACACACATTCATGCTCTGTTATTTTAAATAGGACAAGCAAGTCTTAGATAAGTAATAAACTGTATTTCTAAATCAGTAAATCTGCAAATATTGTCTTAAATAAAGTCTGATGATGCAAATTGTAATTTGTGGCCCTTCGCATTTATGTAGGCTAGTTTAAATGCGGCCCGCTTGGCCTCTGAACTTGAGTACCCCTGCGTTATATAATTATCAATTTCTAACGTTTTTATTAAATTGTAATCACGTTAAATACAAATTCAGTCCCATTAAACTTTTTTTAGCCTACATGACACCCATGTCTGTTTTTTGCCTAAAAAGACGGATTTATGATGTTTAATATATTTGGCTGCTTTTAGCCTTACCCTGGAGTTGGTTCGCCCTCTGCCTATGCATATATGTGAAGAATTTATTGCACATTATTACACGGCTCTATGGAATACTTTATTCTGATTGGTCAATCGCGGCATTCAGAGGTCAGATATTTGGAAATACTTTAATGTCTCGTATCACACCGCGGACTCGTATCGTTTCATAAAAACAAAATATTGCGCCTCAGTTATCGACTGTAGCCTACTGAAAATAACCTCGGAGGATTTTAGTATTATTAAAATAACTTCTAAGAGTGATCGCACCTAAGTGTTCAGTCTTGTTGCTATAGCAGATTCTCGTGTAGGCCCTAGTGGACTATATTTTTTCTTTGCGGAAGCTAATATATATAGCTAAAATTATAAAGTTATTTCAACTTAAATTAATATTTTATGTGTGTCTATTTTATTATTATTATTATTATTATTATTATTATTATTATTATTATTAGGCCTATATTGTGAGTGGCCATGTAATAGCCTACGCGGGGCAGTCAGTTATCGCGAAATAAATCCCTTCATAAGCAGCCAAAACGGTACTGCAGAAAAAGTCTCTTCAAAAGAGCCCTTCAACTACAATAATGGAAGCTTATGAAACGAATTGTTACATTGCAAACAAGAGCATTTCTTTTCATTTTAGACTTTGAAGGAGTCGTTTAAATTCAGACCTGGAATTTCCTGATGGCGAATGAAGCAATTACAGCCCGTTATATATATATATGCATCTTGCCCAGTGACCCCCCAACACCACGCAGTCATTATTTCCATATCGTGTTGCTCTCACGCCCACTGAGAGAGGGAGCAGAGAGCTCATCCGGTGCATTGAGGGACCTCCAGGTCCTCATCTGCGCTCTGTACAGCATCAGCACCAGCCGCTGCGTGAGAAACAAACCGAGTCGCAGCACCGCGTGCGCTTCATTCAATCTGGAGTGTCAGATGGTGCAAGATGCACCGCTTCTTTGTCCTCCTCTACACCCGGACTGTGCAAGTTAACGCTGGAAGGGACCAATAGTAGTTGAGGGACCTGAGAAGACACGTTTCAGCTGCGCTGAAAGGCTCATACAGGATTATTGTCCTCGTATCACCATCCCGTGGATTTCCTGCTTGTACTACTAAACACGCGCGCTGCGGCTTCCAGAGAAATAAAGCAAATCATTGCTGCTTAAAATGTGTTAATTCGGTTTCTTTCTCGCAAGGGAGGAGCAATGAGAGCGTAAACAACACTGGGTGGCTTTGTTTCTCAGACACGGACCCGTGGAAGATCACATTGACATGTCTTTCAGTGCTGGATTTGGAGCTACCGTTATTTCTCCACTAACTTAGGGAAGTGTTGTTCGTATCTCTTTGACTTTGCATTACAGCTCAATTCTACTTTTCTAACAAACACGTGCAGTTTTCTTCATATCTTCTTCCTACATTGTGGAGCGCTTTTATCGGAAGGGCGTATTTGATTCGCGTCTATCGTCTTTGGAGTGAAGAAAGACCCATTTAAACCCGTTGCCTCGGCATTATCTTGTGGAGTTACAGCAACCCACGTGGAAACACGGACTCGAAGGAGGGCAAGATGGGCTGTTGCAGTGGCAGATGCACGCTGGCATTTATATGTGGCATGCAATTGGTAAGTGATAACGCTTATGTAATTTCTAAACCTGCGCTGATGGTGATAGTTCATGGATTCGAACCGGCAACCTTCCGGTTATCAGCCTAGATGCTGAATTAACAAACTGCATTTCAGTCTAATAAGAAAACTGGTAAATTGGTGAACAGGGACAGTCTGATTGTAGTAAGCTTGGGTGAAAGTTCATAGGGTTTGAACCTACAGCCTTTCGGGTTACTCAACTAGGGTTTTAATCTGAATTGGTTGGAAGCCTGTGCCAGGTTATTTGATGTGATTTTATACAGTTGTGGAATTAGGTTTGGGTCAAAGAGGAGTGTCAGTCACTTGTAATGATGCAAAATTTGTAGTGTCTCCTAGAAGTGAACCCGAGAACTCAAGAGCCCAAGTGTCCACCTGACAAGTGGTCAGTGATACAGCATGTATGTGGCCGTGAGTAATCTTAGTGGAAATAATGTGGGGCTATATGTGGAAACCCTGCGTCGTTATATTACACCGGAGGGATGATGGTGTTCATGAAGGCTGGGCTTGTGTCATTAGCCTGGGGCCACTATCATTTATGCTTATCTTCCCACTACCACGGGTCCTGACAGCCAATTAGGAGTTTTAAGTTAAAGAAGCTAAGCCAAGTCTCGTCGACCTACTAAAGCAGAAAACGATTACTTATTGCTTCTGCTAGAGCTTGAGAGGGTTTTTTTAACCGTCAGAATGTTTTCTAATCTAGTCCCATTTGAAAAGATGATTTCAGTCTGGTGTTTGTAAGAATTCACAGAACTGAGTAATTTTACTTTTCCCAGACTATCTCTGTGACACCTTTTGAATCACTCTGTAATGGATAGTGGCCAGCGACAGTCTCACCATTGCCTACCAGCTGGCATGGTGAATCAGGCGTGCGTGATAGATCACATGACAACTGGCAAGCGTGACTACACTAATCCAAATGGATGTTTGTAGGTTAATGTATCACACAGGTCATTATCCCGAAGAATCAGCCGTAGTGGGTGATGTCACCACCTGGTGTCTGTTAATCAGACCTTACTCTAGAAGCCGGTCTTTGAGCGTGATGATGTCATAAGTGAGTCATTTTTAGCAGGCTAATGTCATAAACTCCCAAGTTACTTATAAGCAGCTGTTGTCTTATAATGCATTTTTGTATTGTTTGGGATTAGGGTGGGTTTTGTTCTGTTTGATGTCAAAACTTTGAGGGGTGTATGTTTCATTTAAAAGGACTTCAGATAATGTTGGTCCTTCATAGACTTTTGCTTTAATCACATTTATTCCTGAAAGCTAATATAATCAGTAGCATAAAAGGTGGCAATAATACAGAAATTAAATATATATATATATATATATATATATATATTAAAGCAATTATATTCCTACTTGATCTTATGTGAGAAGATATACTGAGTTGATATTTCTATATTTGTCACAATTTTCCCCAACCATTGTATGTTTTTACAACAGAAGATGGCATGAACAATTGATTGGTAGTTATGAAGAAAAATGAAGAAAAAAATTCCAGATTAAATTATTAGGGAATTAATAATCTAGTCATTTGTTAGAGCGCAATAGCACTTTGTTAAACTTTTCTTCTGTTGGAATGGCTGTAGAAAATGGAGCTAATGCACTCAGCTCTGCTAAATTACCAAGCAGACCTTTTTTATTGTTTAAGGCTATAACACAGATAAAATATCCATAGTTAAAGCATTTATAAGAGTTTTCTCTCTGGTGGTTTTTGTGTCTGGCAAGTATAAATGCCTGTGGTCCAACAGACTGGCCTGCATTTTGACATGGAAGCAAAGAAAATAGTATTGTATACTCAAGGGATGTGTTTATAGTGATTGCTCAAAGATGCATTCATAGAAAGGACATCTGGTAAAATAGTTTGACTCTATTATGGCTGATGAAAACTTGATATCTGTTGTCAAAGTGGTCCTCTTAGCTTCAGCCTTTGACAGCCTCCCTATGGACCATCTGATGCATATTGTACGCAAAGATGAATACAGCTGGTGAAATCTGCCCGTTCCAATTGGCTGCCCACAAGGGAACTTCTGGGAATCAGGCATGCACAAGTTTTTTATCAGGCAGTCGGAAAGATTTGTTTACGTTACCAGATTGCTGGTGATGTTGCTGTCATGAAAGGTCTGACCACGTGATTCACTCAAAAATTGCTCTATTTTCCTTGTTATCTAAGTTTTTGTTGAAACTGAAGCATCATTATTTGAATATTTTACCACTTTGTTGCATGCCAGTCTGTTGTTATGGCTGCATCGATTTCAGATTTATCTGCCCCTGCATACCCTTATCAACAACAGTTGGTCATTTTACATGTTGGTCAGAAGGCTGTCTAAGTGGGCAGTTCTTGGCCAGAATAAGCTACAATATGCAGAACATTTAGTGTTGATAGTCAAAAATGTGTTTTTTATAATCTGGATTGTCATAAATATTGTAAAACTATTTGCTCTGTTTCTAAATGTTTTGATTGAATTAATTACATGATATGCTGATTATTCAAACTAATCGCAGTTAATCACACTTATCAATGTTTTTTTAAAAATTGAGTCGAATATCCCTTAAATGTAGTTCCCCTTCAGGAACTCGAACTGCGTCGAGATCGCTTTGGGAACGCCTCTGCGTGACCACGTTCTGAAGCACGTGTGAAATCAGTCCAATGGAGCAGCGTTAGCGGAGGGATCCGAGACGGGCTCGTCCTTTTCTCGGTCCTCACCCGCTAGATCCACGGCTCTCTCTCAGTGTTCGTTCGGAAGCCCGCACTGTGGTTTCTTAGATTTCACACGTGCTTCAGAACGCGGTCACGCAGGGGCATTCCCAAAGCGATCTCGACGCAGCGTCTCGTTCCATCCATGGGCATGAGTTTTTTGTGGCAGAAGAGTTGAATTGACATCACAGAAAGTGGCTTTAGAAGTCAGTATATTGTTTGTTTTATTTCCATATCATTGAAGTCTATCACAGTCCACAGCGATCTGTTCTGCAGTCGAGTTTGTCCATCTGTCCTTATTCGTTTTGTGCTGTCTGCTCTCAGTTAGTGTGATTTGGCAAGTCTCCTGTAGAATTGCATGCGACAGGGAGTGTGATTAAATGTGTTCATTTTTATGCATTATTATTTATTTTTTTTAAATAATTAATTGTAGTAGAGTAACATGTTAAATTAATGTCCATTAAACTACTGAAGGAGATGCTCTATGCATTCAAGATTTATGATTTGATTTTAATCAGTGTCTGCATTTGTCAATTCAGATACATTTATGAAATCAGGTTTGGATCATGTTGTTCATCCATCTTATTGTTTTCTTATTTGTTTTTGCTTTTCTTCTGCACCTTGTACTGTCATAGGAAACAAATCATTATCAGCCACAAATGTATGTTTACTCAAATAAACCCAAGATTGATTGTTAACTCATGTTACCTTGGGAGTAAAAACAGAATGTGTAAATAAAAAAAAAAGAAAGAAAAAGAATTACTCGTTAGATTGCCGAATAACAGATTGCCCAGAGACTGACAGACACCTGTGGTTCTTGAGGTCATTTCTAAACTCTCTTGAAATATTCTACACCTGGCGCTACACATTTCTATAATTGTTTTGTTTTCAAACTGGTATGAATGTCTGCTGTCATTTTTCCTCTTGGAACAACACAAAGACAAAGGTTTAATTGTTGTTTTCCGTCATCGTAATCAGCTGTATGCAGGAGAAAGGCTTGTGCTCTTGAAATTAATTACTCTCCTGAATGCAGGTGATTTGCCAAACAAAACATTTTTTTGAGGTTAATACTGAATATTATATGTCATTTAGTTTGTCCGTTAGCATGTAAAAGTGCTGCGACAACTCTCATTGTTTTTTTTTTTCTGAATTAGAAGTAAACAGACTTCTAGTGCACAGACGGAAAGCACTTCGAACAGACCCTTTGCCAAACAAAACAATCGCATTGGCAGAATATTGTTCTAAATTGCTGTGCAATGCCTTTGCATCGTGACCTTGGTTTCCCAAAACTGACAGATGGTTTAGGAAGCCTTTTTGCATAATGAATCCAAATATTTACATATCTCATCAAAGCATTGATGCCATAACTCTACCATGTAAAAAGGATTGTTTTTGTACACCATGAATTTAAACTGGCTAATTAACATGCTTTTTTAAAAACAAACTTTCTCTCTTACACATCAGCACAATTAAACGACATGTGGCAAAGTTATCTTTTTCATGTAAATCACCAAAATGTTGTTGATTGCTTGGTTTTTGTTACTGCAGTGCAGTCTCATTAGTTGTTAATCTAACTCCATGAATATTAAACATAAAATATTTACATTTACTTTTATGCATTTGGAAGACATATTTAAGCGACTCACATTCAAGGTGCACATATTATCAGTTCTCGCTTTCTCTGGGAATCTAACCCAATACCTCCGCGATGCTAGCGCCATTCTCTACTGTTTGAGCTACATGAAGGCTGCATATATAACAAGATTAAATATGTTCTGATTGGCTGCTATTGTGACAGCAATTTCACATTCACATGTCACTGGAAACCTTTCGCATCGTGCTTGGTGGCAATCCATTGATTTGTTATGTAAGTAGGCCTGTTGAATCAGATCGGTTTGTTTGCTAATATTTTCATGAAATTGACAATAAAGAATCCCAGATTGACAAGAGACAGAATAGCATAGCGAACTACTGAAGCTCTTTGGCTTTGTGACTGTGACTGAAGAGCTGCCTCTCAGGGAAAATAAGTCCTTGATATTTGGCAAGTGAATTGAATTGGCTTCTCCACACCACAATCCAAATCTGAAAAGGCAGGAAGATTTAATGACTTTTCAAATGTTATAAATCATTCCCAGCTTAACAAAACCAATAAACATAAGTGCCTCAAACATGCGGTGGGAATAAGTCTTTGCTGCAGGAAATTTTTCAGACATCTCTCCTTCCGTCGGCATTAAATTAACCTTTATTTTCCCGCCCCGGATGCCTCTTTCATAGTCGTGAG